GCTCAGGCCTCCCGACCCTCTGGCACACCGCCATAGCTGCCCAGGCTGGGGGTATGCCTCTGACCCTGCATCCTCCAGGCACCACCCCACCTGCCCCCCGAGTTCTGTGACCCACACCTCGCCCACCTGGTACCTCTGCCCACAGCGTGTTTGCCCCAGAAGTCAGTGGCCCTGCGGGGCTTCTCCTGGTTTGGACAGCAGGGAGCAGGGTTGTTTCAGGGCTAATGTGTCCAGCACATGGGTGTAAACAGCCAGGAGGGCCCCTCCTCTCCAGCCTACGCCTTGACCTGCACTGGATCTCTCAACATAACTGTCTCAGGAATCTTGTAATCAGCCTCCCAGGCCCAGGCGGGCTGCACGGCCTTGACCAGGCCCCGCCAGACCTTGTCGGGCTGCAGATGCCGGCTCCGCCATCTGGGCTGGGCTGAGGGGCGCGTGTCTACCAGGCTCCAGGGGCTGCTGCCCAGGGGCCGTGGAGAAGTGAGGCTCTAGGGACCCTGCGTGGTTCTGGTGCTTCCCCCAGTAGGTGCTGGGGAGTGCAAGCTGGCTGAGTGCCTCCTCTCCCAGGCCTGTTCCAAGCGCTCCCCAGCCCATTCATCCAGTTCCTCCAGACAAGCCAGCCTACAGAAGGGGACCGGAGTCACAGAGATAGCAGGGACATTCACCGGACTTCAGACCCGGCGGGGCTGTGTCTGGCTGCTCTGGAGACCCCTTCAGCCGGGGGTCTCAGGGGCTCAAGGAGGAACTTCCCCTGTGGCCAGAGGAGGAAGTCTCCAGAAAGGTGGAGTTTGGGGAGGTGGGCGAGGGCTCCGGATAGGACACATCTCCTCTGAAGTGTTTTTTCCTATAAGATTCTGGGAATTGCAGAAGCAAGACATAGAGGCTGCAGAGAGGCCGGGGAGGCCGGGGTGGCCGGGGTGGGCTGCAGCTGCCTGGGTCCAAGTTGGGGGCCAGGAGAGGAAGGCAGGGCCAGCTGCAGGGAGGCTGGACAGGTAGGCCTGTTGCTGCCCGCAGGGCCTGTTTGGAGCCGTCCTGGGGCGCTCTGTGCACCTGCCCCCGACCCACCCTCAGGCCGTTGCTCCCCAGAGGTGGCCAGCAGCATAATCACTGACAGCAGCCAAAGCGCCTTCTGGAAAACTTCCCGCCCGGCTCGGTCTGCCCACCTCCCTGGCCAGCCCCACGGCCCGGCTCCCGCCTGCCAGCCCAGCCTCTCTGTCTCCTGTTAGTCTGTCTTCCCCCACCGCCTGGTGTCCAGACGGCTTCTCTCTCATCTCTCTGTCTCTTTCACGTTCGCTCTCAGCTCTTCCCCGCTGTTCCTGTTACCCATCTCCTTTCCCACTGGCTGTTTCTCTGCCCCGTCCCTGTCCCCCACACTGTCTCTGTTTCTCTCTCCCCATCTCTCTAGCTCCACTGTCTGTCTCGGGGTCCCTCGGGGCTTGTGTCTCTATCTATCCTCATTCTACGACTCACTGCCATTTCTTCAACTTTTCTGCTCATTTAGTCCTGATCTTGGTCTCCTTCTATTTTGAGGGACCCCCCCCCCACTGGACAGTCTTCTTCTGGAACCCTCCCCAGTGGCCCCTTTGCTGAGTCCCACCCTCTAACCCACACCCTGCTGTATCCTCAGGGGGAGCCTGACTCCGCAGTGCCTCAGCCTAACACTGCTCCCCCCTTCCTTGCTCCCCACCCGCACTGAATCCTCCATGCTGCCTGTCCCTCAGCCTCCCTCCCCGCCTTCTCCGGGCCACCTCCTGCCCTCCCAGGCCACGCAACCCCCGGGCAGGCTGTCTCCAGTGTGCCTGCTGCCCCTGAGTGCGGCTCATCCCATACTGCTGAGATACCGGCGCGCTTTAGGGTCAGCAAACCCAACCACCACGCCGTTAATAGGGCGGTGCAATTCCAATTTCATGACCACATCGGCTTCCCTCTTTTAGGGCGAAGGGAAGGAATGAATCTTTTTTTATTCCTCTCAGAAAACAGGCAAAGAAAGGCCTTGTGCGCCAGAGCCTAGGTGGCTAGGTGGGGGAGCTGGCGGGCAGCGGAGGGGCCCACGCTCATGTAAGACAAAGCAGGGCTTTGAGGAAGGAGGAGGCAGGCCACAGAGGCGGTTGGTGCTGTGTGGCTTCTGCCTGCCGAGCCGGCCCGGGTGCTCACAGCGGTGAATGGCAGAGCCTTCGTTCGCTCCGTGAACACCATCTGCTGCCACGAGGCTACAAGCCAGAACGGGGGCATGCAGACGCTTACTGAATGAAGGGAACATTCGTCTGTGGTATGCAACACCAAGTTGTATTTGTTAGAGCAACGTCAAGTTTAGGATGTGAGGCTGCGCTGCAAATTGCAAACATGGCCCGAAAGCCATCTCCTTCCCTGGAGACACATTCTGCACATTCTGACTGTGAGCTTCCACCACCCTTGAACATGGATTGGCCTGTGACTTGCCCTGGCCAACAGAACAGAGCGGAAGTGGCAGAGGGCACGTTCCCCAGAAGTGGCAGAAGGCCACCTGAGCTTTGGCGGCTCTGGCCCCGGTGCCTTCACCTGCCTGGCTTGTGGAGGATAGGGGCTCCCGGGGCGGGCGAGCCATCCCAGCAGATGCCACCCCGGGGTTCCAGGGGCGGGCGAGCCATCCCAGCGGACGCCACCCCGGGGCTCCCGGGGCGGGCGAGCCATCCCAGCGGATGCCACCCCGGGGTTCCCGGGGCCGGTGAGCCATCCCAGCGGATGCCACCCCCACCTGCCTAGCCGGCCCCCAGCTGACAGTTTCCTGAATGCAGATGCAGAGGGAGGGTTGAGGCAAACCTGCCCCAGGTCAGCGGCTGATCCCAGCCTAATGTGAAACACCGCATGACAGTCATTCGCAGCCACTCTCTTTGGGGACACCCTTTGCACACAGCATTGTTGAAACAAGAGCGGCAGCCGTGCTCCTATTTAATCTCAGCATCCCTGGCACTGCTTGACCCATGATGAGTGGCTACCAAATGTTTGTTGAGTGAATAAATGATATAACCCCTTGTGTTTTTCCAGATACGCACAAAATTGTCCTATCTCTAAGCCTTTGCTCAGACTGTTTTCTTGATTTAGAATATTCTTCTCCATTCTCTGCCTGGTCAACCTCTGTTTTTCCTGCAAAGTGCTGCTCATATGCCATCTGTTGTGGTTGGTCTTCTCTGACCCTCCTCACACTCCCGCAGGACAGATCTCTCCCTCCCCAATGCCCCAGAGTGCCAGCGAGGTTACGTGCTGGATGCTCATTGCTGTGCGAGTCGCAGTGGTGAGTGGATAAGTGCTTTCCCCTTGCTGGACTGTGATCCCATTTAAGGTGGACAGCGGGTCTTTTCATCTCAACAGGCTGGGCCCCTAGTACAGGGGCTCAACCTGTACTAGGTGAGGTCCTCGGGGGGCCCCTCATTCATTCATACATGCCTGAAGCTTTTGAGCTCGCTCCCTGGAGACCAGGCTCTGTCAAAGCATGGTGGGCACTGCAGAGAGTGACACAGTCTCTGCACTGGTGGGGCTGATGGCTTGGCTGTAGGTAGGGGAAGGCTGTCCATGAAGAAACCAGTGAGTAGGGAAAACATCGGAGAGATAGATACTTTGCAGAGAGGCAGTTGTTAAGGTGTTAAATCACCATCTGAATGGCAGCGGAGTCAGCACAGCAAAAGTCAGGGGGAAGAAATCCAGGACTGGGTGATGCAAAGGCCCAGAGGCAGGAATGCACTTGATGTGTGAATGGCAAAAAGGGGGAGACAGTGCGGATGAAGTGGGGAGACTGCGGAGGTCCAGGGCAGGTGGGTTGTGTTCTGCGTGGGTATGGATGTTTTCGTAAAAGGTTTGGTTTATTTTCAGTGTGATGGGGCAAGCAGACACTCTGGCAGAAGGGCCTTGCGGAATGCTTTCTGCTTATTTAGAAGGATCCCCTTGGCTTCTGTGGGGACACCAAACCGTCGTGAGGGGACAAAGGGAGAGTCTGGAGACCAGTTAGGAGACCACACTCGATTTCCAGAGCAGCTTGTACTGATGCCAGCAGAGAAGAGCGGAGAGCAAAGTCAGCCTGAGCTATGAGAGCCAAGTCAACAAGCTGTGGGGCTGGATGGGAAGGGGGCAGGAAGGAGCTGAAGGAGTGGTACCAGCTGAGCAATGACCCCCTCCACCTGGCTGATGGTGGAGAACGGGGAGCAGCGAGTTTTGAAAGGCAAATCACAAGTTGGGTTTCGGCCATATGGAATTGGAGATGGAGATCAGGTAGCGGGTGGGGAGGGCGGGAGGCACGAGGAACGTGGACTTCGGAGTCTGGAATTCAGGGGGAAGTTAGGGAGCCAGGCATTGGGAGTTAGCGTGGAATTAACTGGTCTTCCAGGTGCTGACTAGTCAGAGGCAAGAGGCTGCAATGGCAGCCAGGCACGAGGCCGGCCTCAGAGAACAGGTGCAGGCAGTGATTCATTTCCCTGTAGCTGCTCAGGCTGGAGGGGCCTGAGGAAAGAGGGCCGGGAGGCCCATCGCCCCCTGCTGCAGCTCAGGCAGCAGCAGCCCGAGGCTTCTCCTCCCCCCCAGGCAGCAGATACCACCTCGCTGAAGCCCCGTGGCCCTCCAGGCCGTGGAAGTGACCCGGGGAACCAGCACCCATTCCTGAATGACCCCAGGCCCCAAAGGCCAGCTGTGCTGTCCCCTGACCACCCCACAGCTCCCACAGAGGGGCAGGGTGGTGGGGGTGATGGAGCTCGGCTGTGCCACTGCACCCCGAGTGGAATGTAATTGTGAAGCTGTGCGTGCCACGAGAGCTTGGCTTGTTACGCATTGTTTTGTAGCCCCCCAGAAAATGCTGGCTTTCTGGAGACTGACCACACTTGACTGTTGGGATATGGGGAGTCACGAGCTGCGCCTCCATCCTCACCCTGGAAGGAGGGGTGTCTTCCATCTCCTTCACCCCCTGGGTCTGCCCAGCTGGCTGTCAAGGGCCCCCTGTGGCTGCTGAACTAAGAATAGAGAGTCACAGACCGAGGTGGGGAAAATTGTTCTGTTTGTTTTAATTAAACTGACTGAAGAAGCCAAGACACAGACGGAAGGAGACTAAGAACAAGACTGGAAATAGTTTAGAAAAGAAATGAAAACCGATCGTGGAGATGTCAGTGCCGATGGGGTGGTGGGTGGGGCCTGGCCTTCACGTCAGCTCCAGGACCACTGTCAGGGTGAGCACCAAGGTGAGCCGGACGCCAGCAGGGCCAGAAGCGGAACCTGGTGGGGGGGATGGGGAGCGGTGTCAGAGCCCGGCTGTCAGCCGCACGTGGGGCGAGGCGGAGCTCCTGAGCCCAGAGTGTGGACACCGGCATGGGGTGCCTGGGCTCAAATCCCAGCTGCGCACGACCTCTTTCTGGTCCAGACTCCTTGGCTGAGCTGAGGCTCCCCCATGGGACCTGACTCTCAGGGTACCCCCTCCAAGCGGGACCCCCCAGCAGGGGCCGGGAGTGGAGGCCTTCCTGGAGACTGTGGGATTTGGCTCAGTGTGGGGAGGGGGTACCGGCGGGTCGGGGTGCAGTGTCTGGGTCTGGTGACGAGGCGGGCAGGTCAGAGGCAGCCTGGGGTGGGGGTGGGGGGCGGCACAGAGGCCTCCAGGGGAGCTGTCTGTACTAGGCCCCCTAAGGAGTGGTCCAAGCCAGGGCTGGGGGGGCCTGCTCGGGGGGCAGGGTTGCTGTGGTAGGTGGGGAGCGCACACTTGGCTCTGGAACCCCCCAGCTGCTTTGGGATGCTGAGCCCCCTCCGTCGCCCCAGTGCCCCTCCTGACCACTCCGGCCCATGCTCTGTCCTATGAGGGGAGGGCGGGAGGGCGTGCCATGGCGCCGGGCGCTTCCTGCAGACTCACCATTGGAGTCCTCTGTTCCTCTTGGGATATTTGGGTTTTCTGTTGGAAAGAACAGAAAGAACCAGAGATGGCAGCTGGCAGAGATGCTCCCCTTCTCCGGCCCCACGGGTGCAACCCAAGGCCTGTGTCAGGGCGGCCCTGCGCCCTGGTGATCTGGGCGCCACCAGCCCCTTTCTCTGGGGGAGAAACCGAGGGCCGTCGAGCTGTCTGCCCGAGGGCCCGGCTGCCAAGCGGCAGATCTGACCTTGTAAGAGCTGTGACCGCTCCAGTGGGGCTCCCTTTCAGACGCCATCTGGGGGGCCTGCGTCCCTGCTGCCCCCCCCGGCAGCCCCCCCCCCACGGGCTGCGTACCGAACACGATGAGCCGCGTGTGGGTGTCGGTGGAGCCCAGCGGGTTCTGGGCGGTGCACCGGTACAGGGAGCCGTTGAGCTCGGCCGGCACCCGCTCCAGCACCAGCTCTTTCCCGCCGAACTCCGCGCTGCCGTCCAGGAGGCGGCTCCCGACCCGCGTCCAGGTGAACACGGGCTCCGGGAAGACTTCGTTCTGTCGGCCAGGGTAGGAAGGGGTCAGGGGCCGCGTGGGCGGGCAACGCAGTCCCCGGATGGTTGGGAGTGGTGCTGGGAACCCCAGGAAGAGAGAGACTCCCCAGCCAGGCCCCGCGCCCCAGACCAGTGGGACCCCACATGCGCTGTGGCCACTGCTCAGCCCTGCACAGGTTATAGGAGCCAGACTCGGAGACGTCCCACTGCCGGGCAGCTCCCGGGGGTGCCGGCACCCCAACACCACCCACCACCCTCCCGGATGCTGAGACAGGCTGACCTGGAATCCGTGGACCAGAATCCTCACTGTGTCCCCGACCCGGGCTCTGCTGGGTGTCATCATGATTTTGGGTCCTTTAGGGGCAACTGTATGGGGGGAGGGCCAGGTCAGAGAGGCGCGGGGGGAGGGACAAGGAACGGGGGACAGGGGTAATGGCTGGGAGCCAGCATCCTGGAGTCAGCCATGCTGAGCTAGGGGCTCCCAGGACGCTGACTCGCCATGTGCCAGACTGGGGCAGCCCAGTCACCTGCTGGTGACAGGTGAGCTTACACCTCACAGGGGTTGGCACTCACAGGGGTTGGCATTTAATAAGCAAACAAGCCAGGGGAGTCCGAAGGTGGCAGCATCCTGAGCCAGGTCAGCGAGTGGTGTCCTTGCCCCTTCCAGGGAGGGTGTGAGACCCTCTGGGGAGGCAGCAGGCCAGTGCCAGGACAGCCGGCCAGGGAGGTGGGGGCCGGCCGGAATAGGCCCCATAGGTGTCCCTGCCAGGAAGGCTGTTAGCACCTCCCAGGGTGGCCCCAGGGAAAACACGTTGTCCCCAGGTCTGGGAGCTGGGTTGGGGGGGTCCCCAACCCCCCACCCCCAGAGCCTCCCCTTCGCACACGGCCCCAGAGCAGAACTCAGAGCTGCTAGCAGAGGAGGGTGGGCTCCCAGGCCTGCCAGTTTCATTCTCGGAGAACAAGACCAAAGGACTAATTAATTAAACCCCAAGCAAGACATCTGAGCAGCCACATGGGGCTGAGGAAAGAAAGCAGGGAGGGAAGAGCCAGGCCTGTGTGGGGAAGGGCTGGTGGGGGAGGTGGGGACGCCGCTGTGCCAGGCAGCAAGGAAGGGCGCTGGCCTGGGGTGTGGGTGCACACGGGGCCTCACAGTCTGAGTCCTTGGATGAGTCACTTCCAGTGCTCCGTGGGGACAAGGGTCAGAGCCCTGCCTGCCCACCACACGGGATGCTGGGGGCACCCAGAGATGGTGGCGGGAAGGCCGATGCTTGGGGTGGACATCCCCAGGCCGGGCACTATGTTGAGTGTCTTTTAGGCGCTGTTCTACTGAATCTTCCACCATGTGTGTGCCTGTTCCCACAAGGAAGCAGAGGTTGGGGGTGGGGCGCCTGGGGTATTAACTCTCCGTGCAGGGGAGGGCGAATGGCCAGTGGCCTGGGTCTGTCCTGTGGGCTGCACTGTCTGCTGCAGCCAGCAGAGGGCGGTGGGCAGCCCTTTCCCGGGGAAGCCTGGCCCCTGGAGGCCAAGGGCAGACATCTGTCCCCTTCCAGCCCAGCTTCCTCACTGCCCGGTTTTCTGAAGGCTCCACCTAATTCCTTCAGTCCCAGCAGGGTCTGCAGGGAAGTGACATTTATCAGGAGCACTAATCCCCAGTTAGGTCAGCCACGGCATCGTGGTGCTTACAAGGCAGGTTACCGTGAAAAATCATATTTCAGGCCAATAACACTGGCCCCCGGAAGGCAGTCTTGCCTGAGGTCACAGCGCAAGGATGAAGAGGCGGAAGCAGGTCTTGCTGGTGCACAGGTCTTCAGAGGGAAGTCGGGAGCCCAGGAGTGCAGGACAGGGCGTGGGGGATGCTGTCTCCACCTGGACAGCCAGAACCTCCCCTGTAGCCTGAGATTCCTGGAGGCTCCTGTGTGCTGCTACCTTGAGGGCAGAGGTGGCAGGCGAGGTCCTGGCTTCTCTGAGCCCAGTCCTGAGCAGATGGTCACTATGTCCACCCTCACTGCTGCACCAAATGTGACCCTGGATGCCAGTGGGGGCTGTCGCTTGCACACTTCCGCCACCTCAAGTGCACTAGCATCTTGCAGTCAGTCACATCCTGGGGTAAGATTAGAGGAGGCAGAAAGGAAAGACAGAGCAAAGCCCCAGGGGTGGGTGTGACAGGCACATTGAAGGCGGAGCAAGGAAGACTCAGGTCTCAGCGAGTGGAGCAGGGGTGAGCTGTGGCTGGGATTTGCTTTTAAGTGTGATGGCACTTTCAGGGAAACGCATGGCTCACAGTCTGACAAATCAGTGACCAACCTCCCAATCAAGCTCTAGAAAGTCCCCAGCCCTACAGAAGGTCTCCTTCTGTCTCCTTCCAGCCCATTTCCACACTCTACAGGTAAATACTACCCTGACGTCTCCCACCAGAGATTTGTTTGGTGTTGCAGAAGTTTGTATAACTGGACTGGGTGGTGAGTCTGCTTTGGTGTCTGGATTCTTTCACGCAGTTGCTCCATCTCTCCGAGTATAGCAGGAAATAATTTACCTGTAGTGTGGAGAAGCTGTGCACAAACACCACACATTTGTTCATCCACTTTCCTAATCACAGACATTTGGGTTACTCAGAGTTTTGTTTGTTATGTTAGGAATAAAGTAAATGGATAGGGTGAGTGTTTGAAAGAATGGAATGTCCATGGCTGCGAGGCGGCGCCAGGGACTGGGTGAGCGCTTCTCTTAGTGATGCCCAGAATTCATGTCCGAATAGGTGTGGACAAATATTTTCATTTCTCTTGGGTAACTATTTAGGAGCAGAACCACCAGGCCATAATGTAGGGGTAGTTTTGTCTTTGTAGGAAACTGTTCCAAAGCAGTACAACTGTTTAATCTCCTGCCCGCCGTACATAAGGTCTGATTGTTCCACACCCTCGCCAGCTTTTGGTATTATCTGTCTTTAATTTCAGCCGCTCTAGCGTGTGTGATGGTATCTCATGCAGTTTGTCTTTATCTCTGATGCCTAAAGATGTTACACTTTTCATACGCTGATTGGCCATTCGTATCTCTTCTCTTTGAAAAATTGAGTTGTCTGTATTGACATGTAGTAGTTCTTTATATGTTCTGGGAACAGATCCTTTGTCACTGGCCTGTGTGGAGAGTCTTTTATCTCAGTCTAGAGTTTGCCGTTTTCATTTTCTTAAAAGTGTCTTCTAAGGCACAAAAGACTAACATGTTGATTAAGTCCAATTTACTGCTTTTCAAATTTCCTTTAGTGCTTTCTGTGATCTCGTAAAGAAATTCTTTTCCAACTCCAATGTTACCAAGTTATATTCCTATGTTTTGCTCTGGAAGCTTCATGATGCTGGGTTTTACATTTAGGCCTATTCATCTCAAATTAATTCTTGTGTATATATGAGACAGAGGTCCAGGTTCCATAAGCCTGTCTGATGGCTCAGGGCTATTTGCTAAAAAGACTTCCCCTTCCTAGTGAATAGTTCAGGGGTCTTTGCCAAAAATCAATTGATGCTGTTATCTGTGTGTCTACTACTTCTGGATTCTAGTCTCTCTTGTCAGCCTCTGAGCACTGGAGGACTTTGGGTGGGGGGTGAGGGTGCCAAGACCTGATCCTCTTCAACTAGGTCAATCAGGGTGGAGGGCAGCGGAGGACAGAGGGGGCTGTGGAGACAGTGCCGACGCCGCCCCTGGCGCCTGTCCGGGGCTCGTGGATCGCTCACTGTCCCATGTTCTCCACTGAGACCTGGAACCCCCAGCCCATAGCTGTCCTCTGCCTCCTCATCAGCCCTCCTGAACAATGGCCACTGCTGTGATTTCCTTGGCCCAGGCCCTCTATGGATGCCCAGTTCAACCAGTCTTGAATCACCTCCCTCCTTCTAGCACCGATCCAGCCAGCTTCGCTGTCTCTCCATAGGCTTCGTCCTCGTGGGCCAAATCCCTGGGCCCCTATATATCCGATCTGATCTTTCGTGGTTTCGCTCCATGCAGCAACCCCCTCCCCCACCTCCCTGCCGCTCAAGTTCTCTAATCCAGCTCAGCCACCTCCTTAAGGACCCCGACTCTGACCTCTGTGCCCGCCCCCTCCCATTTCCCGGGTGGCCTGCAGCCCAGAGACCCCACCATGCGCGCCGCAGAGGCCCCCCAAGCCTTACCCAAGGGCTTGGCACCCCAAGCCTTACCCAGCGTGACCTCTGCCTGCATGGGCATCGACAGCGCTGGGTGCTTGACCTCACAGCTGAAGAGGGCCTCGTTGTCAATCTGTGGGTTGAGTGTCCAGGTGAGCAGGGCGCGCACCTCCACGGTGCCGTCGCTGCCCGGGGTGTGGCTGTGGCGCAGGAAGTAGACGGGCTCCGTGCTGTGGACCCAGCGGGGGAACTCGCGGCTCACCACCGTCTCTGGGATGTTCTCGGTGGTGGGCTGGAGGAGGACGCCGGGGTCTGGCGTCAGGCCGCGCAATGGGCGCTCCGTGTGGGGTCGCCCGCCCCGGGCTTCGGCGTCCAGCAGCGACAGTGACCTCTGCATCTTGGTGTCGTCCAGGTCACGGTGCAGGAGGCTGCGGAAGGGCCTGCTGTCCTGGAGGGGCCCGGAGCTCGCAGCGGGCGGTTCTGAGAGGAGCACCGCATCGATGGGTTCCCCATCTCGCTTGAAATAAACCTGGAATCGCAAGAGGGTGTGGGTGACCTTGACCTCCCAGCGGGCTCTGGGTGACTTTGACTTCCTGGGTGACTCTGACCTCCCAGGTGACCTTGACCTCCCGGTGGCGTCTGGGAGGAACTGTGCACAGGCCTTTAGGCACCTCCTTTTCCTGCCAGGCACCCTTTCCCTCCAGCACCCCAAGACCTCATCAGGTCGGTTCTCTGGGGACATGCAGGCCGTGATGGCATAGGCTGCATCCATGTCATCTTTCACTAGCTGGTGACCCTCCAACACCTACTTCCTGGGGTTATTGGGTGCTTAGAAATAACGTGCAGCAGCAGGGACTCTGCACACAGCTGTGGGGGCCACTTGGGTTTTCAGGGGGTGGTCCATGACCCCCCAGGGCCGAGCCTGTGGAGGATACAAAGGTGCCAGGCAGCGAGGGGAGGTGGGGTGTTGGGAGGAGAGGCTCTGTGTGGACCCGGGACCCTGACGTCAGAAGCCAGGTGTGGGCAGGGGAGGGAGCGAGGTGTGGCGATGAAGCAAAAGTGAATGTCTTCTTGCTTTCTCTGCTAATGGGGAACTCAACTTTTGAGAGGCAGCATTTGATTTAATTTGCCGTCTTTTTATTTTGGTACCTGCACCCACAGGCCTGTGGGGATTGGGTGTATTTTTTAAAATAAATCAGATAAATAAATCGATAGGAGACAGGGAGAGAGGAGGGGAAGCAGCTCTCTGGAGGGGGGAGAAGGAAGGAGGCTGGAGGGGCTGGCTGGAGGGGGAGCGGGAGGATGTGGGGGGAAATGAAATGTGGGACGCGGAGAAGCTGTCAGAGTTTATTGCTCCAACAAAGAATCTCTTATGCACATAATAGCCTGCTTTGGGCCCTCCTTTTTTTGAAAAGTGCTTCAAAAGCAGGTTTGTAATTTATATCAAAGAATTCTTTCAAGTTCTGATGTCCCAGACAGACGTAAGATGCCTGGAATGTAGGGAGATAAGGGCCTTTTATATCTATACACATATATATGTGACGATCCATGCACAGGGTTGGGTACTTTATTGCCAAGTCTGAAATAGCAGCAGTGGTGGGCTGGGGGAGGGGTCTCCCTGCAGGTCTTGGCCCACGAAGAGTCTGTCTTTGTGTCTGCCAGAAAAGGAGTTTGCTTTGGGGGGAAAGACCAGCCTGCCTGATCTCGGGGAGCGTGGACCCCTTCCTGGGTATTAAAGGGGGGGTTTGCCGCCGTGTCCAACTCTCCAGTTGCTGGTTTGAGAAGTGACTTCATCTGTTCCCTCCACCCCACTTTGGGGTGGAGGGAGGTGGCCTCCCAAGGGCCTGCCCCCCACACTCCTGCGTCTGCCTACCTGAGCCTGGGTGCACCTGCCCCACCTGGGTGCACCTGCCCTGGATGTCTCCACACCTAATTACTGCTTTGTTCTTGGCATCTGGGTCTCAGTGGGGCTGGCCTGGGTCCCAGCTCAGATCGCTGGGCCACACCTGTGAGACCCTCAGGGTCTGCTATGAGGGGAGGCATTGTCTTCCCACCGTGAACGCTAACCCCACTTCCCTACTGTTCCAGCTTATACGAAATCCTAGCAATATACGAAACACATAAGCTAAGACCCAAGGTGTCAAACAGTGTCAGATCTGGAAGGGGCCTTGGGAGCCTGTGGGTTCCTGGAGCCCTGAAGGTCTCTTGAGTGCTTTAAAGATCCATAAGGACCACTGGGCCTCCCTTCATCCTACACATCGGCGTTTCCCTGTATTTCATTCAAATCAAGGGGCCCAGCTTTTTAGTCCTGCTCCTAAAAAGCTGAAAACTTTAATGTTGTTCACACCCTAAGCCTTACAGACTGAGGAACAGGAGAAAGGTGTTTGCTCAGGCTCAGTGTATGTGGGGGTGGGGCTGAGGCCCCCTCTCCAGACGCTCATGAAGTTGGGGCTCTCAGGCCCTCCCTGCCCACTGGACAGGCCGTGACAGCGATGTGTGAGCTGAAGGACAGAGCTCAGCGGTTAGGTTGGGTCTAACAAGGAGGAACCACCCTCCCCCACCCTCTCCCCCCCTCCCTCCTGTTCTTCTCTCAACATCTCCCTTTCCTTGCCCCTCTGCTTCCCTCTATCCTCCCCCCAATTTCCTCCCCCCCATCTTCCCTTCCCACAGTGGGCCTGGAGCTAGAGGACATGACCTTGAGCCCCAGCTCTGTCATGGATACTCTGGACATGCCCCCCCCCACTGAATAATGGTTAGGGGTACACTTGACACCCCTCTGCCCTAAAGATCACTCCCACTGTGCAGTTCTAGGATCCTGGGGGTCAGGAGAAACGGCCAGGTGGCCGTGTCACCACACAGGTCACACCTCTCTGCCTCCATTTTGCAGCGGACACATGGTGGACACGTCACAAAGGAGGGCCACCTGCAGGGACTGGGGGTGAGGGGCAGCCCGGGGTACTCACCGTGGGTGCCGGTTTCCCTCCAGACACGATGCAGACCAGCGTGAAGTTCTGGGCTTGGTAGCGGCTGAAGGGGGCTGGGGAGTCTGCGGTCACCACTTCGATAGAGGCGGGAGGGGCTACCCGAGGGGAGACACAGGCAGACGGGGTTTGACTGGCAGGCCGGAGGCCTCACAGAGACCGAAGATGGGCCCGGGCCGCGGGCATGCAGTGAGGTTCTGCCGCCCTCGCCAGGTGGGGAAGATGCTTGAATTAAACTTCACAAGTGAAGTCAGCCAGAAGCATCAGAGACGGGTTGGGGGTGTGGGGGGCACACAAAAATGCAAAGGGGGCCCTGCCCGAGGCAGGAGCGGACCTGCGGTGAGCTGGGTCCCCCAGCAGGTGCGGGACAAACGCGGCAGGGAGAGGAACCGCGGGACCCGAGACCTGGAGGCGGGCCGGCCGAGGCCGTGATTGTAGGCTTCAGACTGACCGGGCACAGCCGGCCCCCACCAGCTCCTGGGCATCTCGTGGGCCTGCGGCTGCCCTGCCACTTGCTTGAAGCAGGCGGCTCGGGGTCTCCCACCCGGGATTCGGGGCTGGCGGTGGGCGCGCAGGAGCAGTGCCAGAGTGGCACTTTGAAGGGGCTGGAGGCAGTGCCAGTTTGGAAGGGAGAGGTGGGAGCCAGAAGTCTGCCCTCCTTTCAGAAGTTGGCTCATTTCCGTGTGTCCAGCTGCCCCCTCCCCGCCCCCTTCCCCTGCGGCTGCCACCACGAGGAGCCGGGGCTCACGGCCCCCCTTTCGGTCACCAGCTCCCTGGTCAGGTCACCAAACCTTCCGCCTCTGAGCCCCAGTGTGTTAAATGGGGACACTGCCTGGCAGGTGTCGGAAGGATGAGCCAGCACAAGAGAGCTTAGCACACAGTAGGGCCTCGCTATTACCACGGTCCCACTACGTGGTCTCCAAAGGGCCGTGGGCCGGTGAGGCAGAAGCAGCGTGGCCTCCTCTGACAGGAGGGGTTCGCTCCACTTAGGTTTAATTAAATCCGACAAACACTTCCCGACGCCTACTACGTGCCAGGCAGGGTGCCAGCTGCTGGCTGTAGGTGCCGGGCGAAGAAGCAGACACAGTGCTGAGAAACCCCGAGTCTGGCGGGGGCGACAGATGCCTGGCAACTCTATTTTAAGGTCTAGTGAGACACAGCCAGGTAGGAGCCGTTCATTCATTCGGCAGCCAACACGCCTGTCGGCAAGGGAAGCAGAATCCACAGGAAACGATGGAGAACAATAGACGGGGAATTGTAATTAAGTGTAAGATCTTCTGAAACAGATGGTAAGTGGGGTAGGTGTCGGAGGGGGGAAATCTCCAATTACCCAGAAGCCGCAAATCCCACCGTCTAACTTTCTCACGGACAGCCGGGGTTTCGCAGCGAGACGCGCGTGGCTCACGGTGCCCAGCCAGCAGCGACGTCGGGCACTCAAGCCTCTCCGCCCACGCGGAGGGGGATCACGTGTTCCCATTTCCTAGATGGGGCCAGTGACGAGATGAGGCAACTTGCCCAGTTCAGGAAGCGCCCTGGCTGCGGACGGACTAACAGTGACCACGCGCCCTGGCAGTTCCTGAGCACTCCACACGGCCAGTTCTTTTAATTCACGCGGCCGTCAGCGTAACATCACACACTACGTACAGATGACGTCATCTAGAATGCTAAGTATACCATTAATTTGTTAATCCATCCGTTGTATGTTACAATAATGTGGGATACACGGGATTTCGGAACTATGTCATTACATCATTTCACCTTTAAAACCCTCTCAAGAGAAAGCCCTCCCCGGCGACGCAATGGGTTAAGGCGCAGCACTGCGAAGCCAGCCACAGCCGCTTCAGTGTGAGTTGGCTCCCAGGGAGCTGACCCACATGGTGCAGCAGATCTCTCTTGTCTCGCTCCCTGCAACTGTGTACTTTGGCCATCTACCTGTTCTGCTCCTCACTCTGTCTCTGGTGAATCCTCCCGCCACCTCTGGCCTGTACATTCTGTACGCATAAACAAATTAAAAAAAAAATCCCTTTCAAGAGCAAACTTACCCTCACGTACGTGGCTTGCTTTCCCTCTCCATTGGGCTGCACTGGGCTAGACGTTGCAGGTCAGCAAACTGAGAGAGACCTGCACAGTCGCCCAGCTGTCAGTGGCAGAACCTGGGCTGGCCCTGGGCTTTCCAAATCCTGGCACGGCACAGGTACCCTGACCACAGGCACGCCCGCCATCTTGGCGCTCTGCACCCAAGTCACGCACACCACCCACACAGGCCCTGATCGGGAGCTGTGTTCCTATCGCTCGTTATATTTCGTTATATTTCTGAGCAGGTGTTAGCAATATGTACAGTTAATCACGCTCGTAAGACAACAACGGGTTTCAATTGTATGGGCGATGACACAGCAGAGCTGCTAATATCAGTGTGGACAGCCCAGGCTCCACACGCTCCCTGTCAGCATGTCCTGATCACGGTGTCCCAGGAGAATGTCACTCAGCATGTCCCCGCCTGTCTCCAGGGCACAGGCTGGGAGCTGACAGCCGGGGCCTTGGCTGCTGTGGGCGCTCCACCCCACCATCAGCCCTTCTCCCGTCCCCTGGACAAAGTGTGGCACTGCACACCGCCTCCCGGGCACTGAGGCGCCTGTCTGCAGCCTCCCTCTGCTCTTGGGCCTCCCTGGCTCCACCCCACGCTCAGCTCATCCCCATTTCTCCATCTTCATCCCCACTTCCACCCCCTCCCCACCCTATCTCTGCCCGTCTCTCGCCCCATCCCAGCTCAGTCCTCATTTCTGTCTCTACCTCTCCCCGAACCCCCTCTCCATGTGCGCCTCACCCCCATCCTGGCTGCAGCCTCTGACCCAGTTCAAAGCGAGCAGCCCACGCTGTGCCGGTCCGGGTCCCGCGGCCCCAGGAGCTGTGCCCCGTCAAAGGCGGTGGCCAGCAGCAGGCACAGCCGTGAGTGCCCATGACTTCAGAGAATCGTCCCTGGTTCAAAGTCGGGCTCCAGGAGCGGCAGGGCGTGAGAGCACCCACCGGGCGCCTCACCCGCACACCAGCCTCGCCCCGACTCACCTGCGACGGTGGCCCACGCGCCCCTCATCTGCGGATTTGGGGTGAGTGTTTTCATATGATTGCACAGAGCAGTGCTCCTGTGCACTACACCCACGGCCCACCTGCACCAGCCCCCCGAAATTGCCCTCCTCTAGGAAAGAGCCAGGGAGCAGGTTTATGTGGCTCAAGAAGGGGATAAACAGTAGCCGTCGACGCCCCAGTACGGACCTAGACAAGGGCAGAGCTTCAGGTCTGCAGCCGCTTCCGCACGTGTCCCCCTGGGAGAGCAGCCCTGGGCCTGGGTGCAGCCACCGTCAGGTCACCGAGGGCCCAGCACTAAGCTGCTCTGGCCCTGAACTCCAGTCACGTGCACTTCCCAGCTTCCTGCTGATTTTGCTCGGGTGGAGAGAACCAGGGCCAGAGTTGCTTTCCAGTGTGGGGAGAAGGGACTCCCCAGGACCAGAAATTTGGGGAGAAGGGGCTCCCCGGGGCACAGCACCGCTGACCTCTGTGGCTCTGCACTGTGGCCCTGTGCTGTGGCCATCGTGGGCGGCAGCAGTTAAGTCATTATGGACTCGACGGTATCGACACAGTGAGGCGATGTCGGGCGATCGGTTTTATGAAATTAACTCTGAAATATAGCCTGTCTTTCTCCTGAAAGCAGAACTTTGCTTCGGCCCCCATAACTCACTTTGAAGCCCACACGCTGGCTCTCTGCTCTGTAAATCATCCGGAGGCCTTTGTGATTCGAGCACACAGGCCCGCTGTTAGAGAAACCCCAGCATTCGCAGAGAGTGGAGTCGGCCCAGGCCGTGTCTAACCATAGTTAGACTCCCAGGCTTTCTACCACAGTTAAATTCTCTCCCCACCTTGAGGTGCACCCCAGCTCCCAAAGCTCCCTTTGGGTGCTGGTATTAATAGTCCAAGCTTCCAGTCCGGGCTCTGCTACCAACATCCCATGGGACCTGGGGCGAGTCACTCGGGCCCGGGTCAGTCTTCCCGTCTATGAAATGGGTTGAATATGACATATCTGCCCCTTCTTACCTTCCAGGGTTTTTGAGAGGAGACACAACTATGAAGCCAGACTCGAGCCTTCTCTGCAGACAGCCAAGGGCTGAAACGGCTTATTTCTATGAGCTCCCTCGGCTGAGAAACTAGGGGAGTGTCCTTCCCTCCCCAGAGTGGCCCTTGTCTGGAGGAAGGGTTCTTTCTCTCTCTTCCTTGGGTTCTACTCCACAGGGTATTTCGCACACACTGCCGCTGTCATTTATCACGGGGTGCTGATCAATTAGATTTTGGGGAGGAATGGGGAGGGAAAAGCCAAGTTCAAAATTTTATTATTTGCAAAAATCCATTCTTTCCTTTCAGCAAGCTTGCTCTATCGACTGCCTTCTTTTTCAATCAGCTCCTAGTCATTACACCATATTTCAACAAAAAGGTAAGCCACCTTCTTAATATAAAGTGTCCATGAAGATAGATGTCCCTCCAAGTCCGCTATTTTATTTCTCCTTTTCTTCCCCTTTTGGTCCAACATCTCAGCTTCTTTCCCGTCCTCATCTCCATTTTCTCTCTGCTTCTTCAAGGAAATGTCGCTCCAAAGAGCATCTCCTTGCGAGCCCTTCTCTGCTCTGACCATGCTCAGCGGCCCCCAGTCTCTCCTCACTCTGTTTCCTCCTCTGCTGGTTAATTCTGCCTTACCCTTTAGGGCAGACCTAGGTGATGCCGCCTCCAGGCAGCCTTCCAGGACTTGGTCAGATTTTGGGATAAGCTTCTAGGTTTCTGGAAAATCCTTCTTTCCTCATACCCACTGGTGCCTGTCACTCTGTCCTGGGTCTACATCTATTTCTCCACTAGACTTTGCATTCTCTGAAGGGACTTACGTTTCTTCACCTGAACCTCAGAGCTAGCACAGACCTGCCACACAGGAATCCAGCTGCAATGCTTATTTCCTTCCTTGGTTTGCCCCAGCACGGGCAAGCATGGACTCTCTTTGTGGAAGGAATCCCATAAGCCCCTGCAATGCAGTGGCCCCTGCCCCCGACTCTAGTCTTGTCGT